TTTTTTAATTATTATTTTTGGAGTGACGCCCGTGCCCGCCCCCCTCCCCTGTGTCTATGGTTTTGTTTAAGCACTGTGTTGGACCGCACATACAGGTGTTGATTGGTATGTTCACTGCACATTTTATTTAATCGGATTATTATTTTGCGGGGGGGAATTTTTGGTTTTATTTTATTTTTGGGGGGGGTTGTTTTTAAATAAAAAAAAAAAAAAGGAGAATTGTTCATCACTCGAATGTAACTTCCCGTTCTCTACCAGGGCTGGGGGCTCTGTGCTGCCTGAGTGGGGTGAGGGGACAGCAGAAGGGACAATCCTGCCCAGTCCTGCCCCCGAACTTGGCATCTCCAAGGGCTGTAATCCCATGGGGTGCCAAAGTGGGGATCCCAGGCTGGGATTGATTGGAGCGTTTGGATTGGGGCTGGACTCCCCTGACAGATGTTCATGGCCTCTTCTCCCAGCTGCCAGCCCCATCCAGCTGTGGAATTCCAGGGCAGGAATGAGGGTGTGGAGCAGCCCCAGCTGTGTGCCCTGCTGGGAAACATCACATTCCTGCTGCCAGGAGCAGCACCTGGAGCTGGCAGGTGCAGGTGGGGACAGGATTTGGGGTGGCACAGCAGCAGTGGGATGCTCCCAACCTTCCTGAGCAGGTGCGGCCGGACAGGTAAGAGCTGCCAGGAAGGGAGGGAGGGCTCCAACCCCACGTTTGTGCCAGCTCCCACCTCGCTGCCACCCACGGGCAGCAGTGGGATCCCAGCTCCCACCAGCCCAGCGGAGCCTGCAGCAGCAGGATTTGGTGCCAGAGGGTGCGAGGCAGCCACTCCACCCCATGAGAGACCCCACTGCCGCCCCTCTGCCCACCGAGCCCCCAGCAGCCTCCAGCGTGCCCAGCTCCTGGAACCCTCAGCGTGCCCAATTCCTGGAGCCCTCGCTGTGCCCGGTTCCTTCTTTGTCCCAGGCCAGGCTGGGGGGGCCCCTGGCACGCCCAGCAACCCACCAACGCAAATAGCCGGTGGCTCCTCCGCCCGCTGCCGCCCGGCGCACGCTGGGGCTCCAATTTCCCGGCGTCAGCCCCCGGCACCGCTCAGCTGTCGTCCCCCTGTGTCCTGTCACTCC